GTTCGAGCCCAGTACGGAGCATTTTTTTGCCTTTCTTTTTCCATCAGAGCTCGAGAGCATGTTCGGGCCACCGTCCTGCCCTCGTATCGAGCACCGCTCTGTCTTGATAGTAATAGGCGTTACGTCTGATGGTGTTAGCGACAGTGTCGTACCTTTGGAATCAGTCCAACGGCGAGGTCGCGAGAATAAAGCGGCGAGAAAGGCGGGGCAAGAATGAAAGTCTCGAAAAGGGACCCTTAAAGCCTTAAAGGAGAGCAACACCTGCCACCCCGCGTCTACTCGGTCCGTTGCGGCTGCTGGGTTATGTCGATGCTGCCGAAGGATGCTGGAATAGAGCAGTCGGGTACTACGAGTCCGAGAGCTAGGGCACCGAGGCTTGACACTGTAGTTCGAGCCTAGTGTGCATGGGCTGGTGAATGTGTTGCCGCGAGGCATCTTCGGTCCACTACTTCTCGCACATGCTGCTACTTGGAGTTGGTGCTGTCGAAGTTGTACCAGCACTCGCGACCACACTCGTTTTCGCACACGCAACCGGTCTTGGGCTCGAGCGCACGAGTCTCGATCGACGCAACAGCTATGAGCGCGATGCTGTTTTCCACATTGCCGAGGGGGACGGCCGACGTGGATGTGCGGCGTATCCAATCCTTGTTGCCTCTGGCAGTCGTGCGCCACGTTGTGCGTGTGTGGGGCTACTCTGGATCCGCACTCTTCCTGAACACACATTACGAACACAGACAGGCCTATGCTTTGCATCTATATAGCTTGAGATTTGATGCTCTAGGGCTTGTGAACGTACTCTATCGCCGCGAGACATCCGCCGTAGAAGCTATCCCAGGTTCCTGGAGCTTTCCAACTGTATTCGATCACCTTGAACGCCTGCCTTTGGAAGAACGTCACCAGTGGCGAATCCTGTGGAATCGCAAAGTCGGGATTGACACCCCATTCCGCCACCGTAAACGCCTTGAGCACGTAGCCGTGCGGATAAGATTCCGCCAAGAACTTCTTGATATGCGCGATGATCATCGACCCTGTGCCCGGTGCAACTGACCCCAGCGCACCTAGCCAAAACACCGGCTTATCTTGTGCATCGTCTGGGATGTAGGATGGGTTGGGTAGAGTATGGATTCCTGGACCTGCATCCATTCCTTCGCCACTGAAGGTAACCTTTGCTCCTGCTACTGGAACTCCTTCGGCGGTGGAGAGGATGAACACCCAGCCTCCTTGGTCGCTGTGGTTGAGGTCATCAACAAGCTCCCGGGTCGTAGGATATCGCAACTTTCCACCAAAGTTCTCGTCGTGGTACGGGCCTCGAAATGAATCATTGACGAGCGATTGGAAGGCAAGGATGTCGGAATCCGACAAGGGCGAGGATCGAGTGTGTCGCAGGATTCGGAGGGAGAGTGCGCCGCGCTGCTCCGCGCTCAGAAGGATGCACGGCTTGGGAAGCGTTACCGCAGCGGAGGTCGGGGCGGTCTTCGTGGCGTGCGAAGCGGAAGAGGGTACGGCGGAGTCGGCGCCGTCAGGTCGGGTCATCGTGTCCGGTTGCAAGTGCAGCGTGCGGGACCGAGCGTCTGAGCCGTGTGGCAAAGAAAGCCAAGCTTGCGGATGAAGCTACGTGCAAGGCAGGACCAATCAAGCTTTCACCGCTCGTTCAGCCGAGCTTATGTCGCCGAGCTTATTTCGTGTCGCTGTGAAGAGGACCAATCTAGCGCCGCGTAAAGTCGGTCTTCGACGTGGCTCCAGCGAGGAAAAAGCAAAGCTAGACGAGTGCGTTGTTGATGAGTTGCACGATCGAGGATCAAAGCTCGTTCCAAGACAGAGTGTCGATGCTTGTGAAGGAGGATGGTGCTGGTGGTACAACAAGATCCTCCTCCCCAGTGCCGAGTGCATACCTCCGGCAATCAAATTTGTCCAACCGCGCACTCCGCCGGATCTTCGGAATTGGTTCTTCCGAGTCATTCGCTCCACTTTCGGCAGCGCGCTCGCTCCATCTTGCAGTCCTGTGCTGCACCTTGCACTTTTGGATGGCAGAATCAGAGTGCCGGTATGAGTAGTCGATCGCCACTTGGTTCTAGCTCCAATGTTTGAAGCGCAGTGGTGTGCAGGTTGAGCGTTGAGCGGTGCGGAAAAGTCTCGATGTGGATTGCGCCGGCTAATTCGCCGAGCTTGAACCCCGCACTTGCGGGTGGAATCAGCGTTCACCACCGCCTAGCCGCATCTCCCGCCCCCGGACACAGCACACACAATCTCAGTGAGCAAGCAGGAAGAGGACAGTGGTGCCGGACACAACAGGTGCACATTGGATGTATGGTTTGCGAATGCGGATGTGCGAATGCGATGCGGATACACTTTTGAGCCAGTGCGCGCGTCTAATCGTCCTTGCTCTTTGTCCAGTCTGCACGATTGCGTCTGGCCACTGTCGAAACGCCTCGATCCATGACTGCGGCATCTGCCTTTGCTGCGATCGGTGCATCTTGCAATCCCGAGCTTTGCGATGCTGCCGGTGGTGGTGGTCGGGACGCTGGTGGTGGCCTGGATGCCGCTGATGGTCTTGGCGGTGCTAGCTGTCGCGACGTCGTCTCGAATGCGTTGCCCAATGCGCGCTCCACACTGATCCTGCCCCGGATCGTATCATCGAGCAATCTTCCTAGCCCGCCTTTTCTCTCCTTGGCGGCGGCGGCGGCGGTGGTAGTGGTGGAGTTGGAGGGTAGCGAGTCACCAAACTGGATCGGACGCGCCCACTTGCTCGCTGCCCCTGGATTGGCAGGTAAGCCCGCTGCGAGGTCGTTCAAGAGCCGGTGGTGCGACTGGCGCGGTTGAGTGTATGCTCTCGCTACGACGGCGTTCGGAGGAGGAGGAGCGTCGTTCCACCCACGATATCCCTCTGCCTCGGTGTTCGAGTTGGTGCTGGTGTTGTTGGTGGCAGGACGGCCAAAGTGCCACGTATTGGGCTTCCATTCTTCGTCGTCGTCCATTGCTGACGTACTGCTCGAAACGGCACGGGTCAGAGTGGGTCTCTCTGCACCGTTGGGCGTGGTGCTTAGCAGATCGTCGATGCCGCTCTTGCCGGCTGTGGGGGGTGCGTCGGTGGGAAAGAAGCGCAGCTGGTCCGCTGGCACTTTGGCCACATGCAGCGGCTGCTGAGGCGGTACGAACCCGCCACTGGTTCCCGACGCTGCTATGCTCGATCCGCCATCCCTGCCCGCTCCCGCACTTGCACCTACGTTTGAGCCGTGTGCTTGGTTGAGCGCGCGCAGCGCGGGAGTCAAGCTCTTGATCGAGCCAGTTCGGGAGAGCGAGGCTCCAAACGCCTCTTGGGAATAGGCTTTGTTCGTTTCCGGCATGAAGGACGCCACCGGATCCGTACCTCCCGGCAAGCCTGGCACCAACTCTTCGACCGGCGTACCGGTGAGCAGGTCCTCGTCCTCCTTTGGTACAAACGCCAGCGTAGGATCGACGGCGCCTTGTTTTGTGTGCATCACCCTGATGTTTGCGTTCGGCGGCCGATGCTTGCAGCTGTCCACGGGCACGTAGATCGACTTGCGGATCTGCACGGGATCGCCGGGCCACAACCGATTCGCCTTGCGCAGCACCTGGATGTCAGCGCCGTAATGCAGCGCCAAGGAAGCAAGCGTATCCCCGGACGAGACAGGGTGTATCAAGACTCGAACCTGTCCATCGCCCACCTCCCTTTCTTTCGCAGTGGATGTAGATGTAGATGCAGATTGGGCGCGTTGCGAGGGCGGAGGTTGGAGTCCGAACCAATTTTCAAGCTTGCCGAGCGTGGATTCGACGCGGCCCTTGTTGGCTTCGTCGTCGACGTGCGGTTGGGAGGAGGAGGAAGGATCTGGTGGCCAGCTGTATTCCGTACTGGTGGAAGCTCCGCCGAATAGACCTGCAAGACCGTTGCTGATGGCCTTCCACTCGGCTGCCACTGCCGATGGTCTTCTCGTTGCTTCTGGCCGCGCGCCTGCCTGACCTGGAGACGGCGATCGAAGAGGATGCCGATCGACGACTTCTGCCCTTGACGGCGTGAGAAACGACTTGCGCGCCCGGAGCTGTCCACTGGATGCGCTGGGCTGCCGGTCAGACCACGGATCGTCGACGCCGTCTGGCCGGGAAGCTGTTTGAAACGACGACTTGCGACTACGGATCTGCTGACTCGACGATGCGGCGGTGTTGGCCCACGCATTGTCGTCCGAGGTGGAATGCTGCGCATCCGAGGCAGAGAGCCATGGCGAAGACATGGTTGTGCTAGGCCGCCGTCACCTTTACCATCGTGTCCACCACCTAGCGACGCAAGAAAGCGGGTCGAAAGTCGGGCTGCTGGTTCGGAATCGCTGGCGAACTCGCTGGCGGACTCGCTGGAAACTGGAACGACGAGTGACGGTGTGATGAGCTGTGCCGAGCTGTGCCGAGGACGGGGTGATGGGATGTGCCGATGGTCGAGGGGGAAAGGTTAGGGTCGTGGTGGGTTGGAGTGTTGGTTGCTGCACGCCGACCTGCATCACTGACCGCCTTTTGGCACTGCTGGCCTGCGTGGCACTGACCAGCTCTCCCGACGCAATCGAGTCCCGAGCGCCGTCGCGAAAACTAACACCCTGCAACCGCGCTCCAACTTCAAAAATCCACATCATGTTAGACTCGGCTGCCACTCCCACTCCCCCTCCAGTTCAGCCACCACCAAACTCACTTACTCGTTCACTCTGCAAAGCACGATCTCAGGCCAATCTGTGGAAACGGGGCTGAAGAATTGCACTTCGGGGGGTCAGTACGATCATCGGCGGTAGTCGTAGCCGTGCGACGGAGGCGGAGGCGGCGGCGGCGGCTGGTACGGCTGGTATCCGCCATAGCCCCCTCCTCCTCCTCCTCCGCTCGGTGCGGGCGGAGGCGGCGGGTAGGCGTAGCGGCCGTCGCGGTACTCTCGATCGCGTCCTTCGCGGTACGGCGAATCGCGTCGATCGGCATAGCCAGGCGGCGGATACGACTCACGTCCACCTCCTCCAAATGCGTGTGCGGGCGGCGGAGGAGGCGGCGGTCCTGGAGGAGGATGCGATCCGCCATAAGCTCCCTGCTGCGGCGGATAGTACGAGCCGGCATAGCCCGGCGCAGGCGCAGGCGAGCCGCCGTAGCCATTGCTGTGCATCGACGTGCGCGGCTTCTTGGGGATCGGCGCATCCTGCAGCGGATTGGCCTTGCGCTTGAAATCCATCGACGTCGCCGTCGTCGTCGCCGCGCCGCTCGCGTGTCCACCGTCGTTCTCGCTCGCTCCTCCCGCGCCTGGCTCCGTCTTGACGCGCGCACCGCCGGCCGGCGATCCCGCTCCCCCACTCGCCGCTGGACGCGAAGGTGGGGCCGCCGCCGCCGCCGCCGCAGTGCCTGGCGCCGTCGTCGTCGTCGGTCCGTTCATCACCAGCTTGTTGAAGATGGCACGCAGCTTCGACGGCTTGACCTTCTTGGGCCAGAAGTACGCGCTAAATGCCCACAGGTGGTGGAACCACCGGTCCTTCTCCTTGGACGAGAGGCTCGCAAACTTGGTCTCGAGCAGATGGTCAATGTGGCCGCCGATCGCAGACAGACACTCTTTCAGCACCGACACCTTCTGGTCGCGCTCCAGATCGTCCGTGCCATCGCGCAGCCGCTTGAGCTGCTTCTTGCACGGCCGCATGAGTTCCTTGCACTCGGCTTCGTCCATGCTCGAATACTCGCTCTCGTCCTCCGAGTCGGACGAGTAGACGGGCGCAGGTCGGCGCTTGTCCGCAGCACCGCTAGACGCGCCTCGGCCCGCCTTGCCCGTCGGCGCGGGCGAGTGCGTCGGCGAGGTGCTCTTTCGCGCCTTCTTGGTCGCCTTGCCACCGCCCTCGGCCAGACTCTTCTGGTACGCTTTGGCATTGTCGTCGTACTCGCGCAGCACCTTGAGCAGGTAGTCGCCACGTCGCACCAGATGGATGGCGTTGGGGATCGGTCGTGGCTTGCCCTGCGGCGGTCCCGAGGTGCCGCTGCGCGGCGCATCCTTCTCGGCCGCGTGCGGCTCCTGGTTGGCCTTTTTGCCTTCCTCGAGGAAGAACTTGCCCTCCATGTTGAGGTCCGGGTCGGTTTCGATCTGCTCCCACGCGCCAAAGCCGTACTTCCAGATGCCCACCAGCAGCATGGCGTCGTCCTTGGCGTCCCAGCCGCCGGCCCAGTTGAGCGTCGCCTTGAGGTGCTCCGAAGGCACGCGCCACTGCAGCGGGTCGTCGACGTTGTCGAGCGTCTCAGCGAGCAGCCGCAGGTCGTAGTGGCGGATGAGCACCGTCTCGGCGTTGATGCCGGTGATGCCGCGGCAGGAGATGAGCACGGCCTTCTGACGCAGCGCCGACGAGATCTCCTCGCCGCGCTCCTGCTTGCCCTTCATGAAGGCGTTGTGCTCGGCCACGGCGTCCTCGCACGTCTTGACGAGCTCGTCCGAGATCTGGTAGAGCACCTGGCGATTCTTGTCCTGCAGCTTGCCTTCTTTGATGATGGGGTCCGTCTTGTACCGGATGTCGCCCCATCGCTGGATGCCGCGGATGAGCACACGCAGGTCGCGCTCCTTCATCTCGACCGAGCGCTGGGCGGCCGTCTTGCGCGAGCGCTTGCTGGCAGCGTCCTTGCCGGCACCCGGCGAGGTGGCACGGTCATCGCCCTCGCCATTGTCGTACGCACCGGGCGCCACCTGGGCGGCGGCGCGTCTTCGCGACGAGCTGGCCGCGGCGGCCGCCTCCTCGACGGCCTTCTTGCGCTCTTCCTCCTCGACCTTTTGGCGCTCTTCGAGCGGGATGATGTCGTCCCAGCTGACGTCGGCCTTGAAGTCCTGCACCTGTGCAAACGACTTGAGGAACTCCTGGCCACCCGCCGAGCTTCCCGTGGGGTCTGCCTCGGTCTCGTGGGCCTCGGCGTGGGAGAGAATGTCGTCGAGGTCCATCTCGTCGAGCTTCTTCTGCTGACCGTCCTCGTTTTCGCTCTTGAACATGTTCTGAGCGCCAAATTTGAGGATGGCACCGAGCTCTTCTTTGCTGAACTGCGGCTGGTTCTTGGCCGAGCCCTTGGGCGCAAAGTTGGTGCCCGAAGTGTCCATCTGGTGGATGATGGCGTACTCGAGCACCATCTTGCGCTTGGCGCGCTCCAGCACGTCTTCCTCGACGGTGTCCTTGGTGAGCAGGCGGAAGACGCTGACGTGGAATTTGGAGTTGAGACGGTGGGCGCGCGCCATGGCCTGAAGATCGTTCTGCGGATTCCAGTCGCTGTCAAAGATGATGACGGTGTCGGCGGTCTCGAGGTTGATGCCAAGGCCACCTGCGCGGGTGGAGAGGAGGAAGGCAAAGTCGGGCGAGCCTTCGGCGTTGAAGTGCTCGATGGCCTTCTTGCGGACCTCGGAGGAGATGGTGCCGTCGAGTCGCTGGTGGATGTAGCCGCGGAGCGACATGTAGTCCGAGAGGATGTCGAGCATGCGGACCATCTGGCTGAAGATGAGCACGCGGTGACCGTCAGCCTTGAGACGCGCGAGGAGCTTGTCGAGCAGCACCATCTTGCCGCTGTGCATGACGAGGCCCTTGAGCGTCTCTTCGCGGTTGTCCGAGATGGCCTCGGTGCCGTCGAAGAGGTAAGGATGGTTGGACGCCTTTTTGAGTTCGATGGCGATGTTGAGCAGCGAGAACTGCGCCGTGGATGCGCCGCTGAGGAGCGAGTAGTTGCGCGTGAGGATGGCCTTGTACATGCGCTGCTGCATGGCCGACATTTCGACGCGGAGGATCTTTTCGGACTTGGTGGGGAGCTCCTTGACGACGTCCTTCTTGAGGCGCCGAAGCATGACGTTGTCGAGCTTCTCGTGGAGCTCCTTGATGACGGCCTGGTCGACGTTGTTGATGTCAAAGTCGACGTCGAGGTCGAACTGGTCCGGGCGGAGGAAGTGGAGGAGGGCGATGAGTTCCTTGACGTTGTTCTGGAGCGGCGTGCCGGTGATGAGGAGCTTGCCGGCGGCGTGGAAGCTGTTGAGCGCCTCGTAGAGCTGGGCCTCGGAGTTTTTGAGGCGATGCGCCTCGTCGACGGCGAGGTACTGCCACTTGATCTGGCCGAGTTCGGCGCGGTCCTTGAGGATGAACTCGTAGGTGGTGACGAGCACGTTGAAGCGCATCTTTTTGGGCGGGCCGAACTCGTAGTCGCGGATCATGTCTCTGCTTGCGCTGTTGCCGATGTAGGCGATGGCGTTGAGGTCGGGCGCCCAGTGCTCAAACTGGTTCATCCAGGCGGGCAGCGTGGAGAGGGGCACGACGACGAGGAAGGGCCCGTACTGGTAGCACGAGTGGAAGAGGTAGGAGAGGAAGGCGACGGTCTGGACGGTCTTGCCGAGGCCCATCTCGTCTGCGAGGATGCCGTTTTCGTTTTTGGACCAGAGGTAGGCGAGCCAGTTGAGGCCGGTCATCTGGAAGTCCTTGAGGGTGCCTGCGCTGATGTAGGCGGGCTGCTCGGTCATGCGCGTGTACTTGGGTCTGCCCTGGGAGAAGTTTTGGGAGCGCCAGGGGACGAGGGTGGAGGTGGAGCGGGCGAGGTAGGCTGCGATGGCGTCGTGGGCGAGCTCCTTGATCTCCTCTTCGGCCTCCCAGGTGCAGTCTGCGTAGGGGAGGCCCTTCCACTTGACGAGGTAGGCGAGATGCGGGTAGGGGATGTCCTTGTTGGCGTCGTTGTTGCGCTGCGCGATGATGCGTTCGACGGTCTTGAAGCTCTCGATGAGTTCGGCCTGCCTCTCCCTTTCGATCTGGAGCGCCTCGATGTCCTCGCGCGAGGCGTTTGGATCGGAGAGGAGCGCCTTTTGGCGGTAGAAGACGTGTTTGATGTAGTTGTCTACGCGCTTGAAGCCGCGGTAGCGTTTGAGAAAGTCGTAGGTCTCGTGCGTGTCGTGGAGGTGCGAGTAGCCCTTCCACTTTACGATGAAGCGAAGGTTTTGGGTGGGGATGTCTTCGGGCTCGTCGAGACGGTCCTCGTGGCGCTCGTGGCCGACGATGCTTTCGATGACGTCCTCTTCCTCGATGGTGCCTGCTTGTAGGGCGTGCTGCTGTGCGGCGATGTCGGCCTCGTCCTCGAAGGGGTCGTCGTCGCCGAGGTCTGCATAGTCGTCGGTGTAGTTGGGGATGCGCTTTGCGTTGCGACTGGACACGCGCGAGGCTTCGAGGTCGGCCGAGGAGAGACGTGGGGCGGAGGAGCGCTTTGGCTTGCGCTTTGCCTTTGCCCT